AGGGCAACAGTGGTGCTGGCTCTGTCCCAGCAGGAGCGATTCTCCATCCTTCCCACCCTTGCTGGCAGCGAGCACCCCCTCTGTCCCCATGTCCCCGTGCACTCACTGGAGCTGACCCATTGCTGGTCCCCCAGACACCACATCTGAAACAAACACTGCTGTGTCCCCCGTTGTCCTGTTGGGACGGTCACGGCCTCCGGACACAGCAAATCCAAAGCCCCGATGAGGGTCCTGGTGGGCATGGGCAGAAGGGGGATCAGGCAGAGTTGACCCCACAGACCCCATCCCCTCCCGTGGTGGAGACACTCACCTTGCTCAGTGTCACCGTGTGCTGCTCCCAGATCACCATCTCCTCCATGGTGGGCTCCCACCAGCAGGAGCTGGGAGGAGTCACGGTGGCAGCCGGACGGTTGGGGGGCTCTGACTGGCTCCGGCTCCTCTTCACAGCCGCTGGCCCCTTCCTCAGTCCAACATCAGCCTGCAACAAAGAGCAGCAGCAAACCTGAGCCATAAGCACCAGGGACTGTGAGGCTGCAGGGGACAGAGCCCCACGGTGCCAGGACACTGGGACTGGCAGCTATGTCACACCCCAGCTAACCCTGCATGGCTCCAAACCCAGAGCTGCCTCTGTGCACCATGAAATCACCCCCTGGGGATCCATCTCCATCCCCTCAGACATGGGTCCATGGAAGAGGGGGTTTTACACAAGGCAAGGACAGGACTCATCTCCATGGCTGAGACCCGCTGTCCATGCCATCCCCGTGGTCTGACTCCCCTCTGTCCTCCTGGAGCTGGCAGGCCTTGGGGTGCTGCTCTGGATGGTGTTTCAGTGCCTGTCCACCCACTCCAGGCTTCAGCAGCTCTGCCAGCTGGTTTGGTAGCACCACTGCCCCAGTTTCACCATTTGGTTTCTCTGGGTTTTCCCCAGATCCAATGTTTTCCACCTAAGGCAGACTAGCCAGACTGACAGAATAACATCCCTTTGAATCTGAAACTTCTGGGATGGGCCCAGGGATCTCCACCGGCTCCTGGTTCCCTGTAGGTAATGTCAGCATGAACCCAAAGAGACATGGGTTCCCAAGATGGTGGGAGACAGCAGGACCAGAGCCTCCCACCAGTTTCCATGGGGTGGGACAGGGACAGACCACTTTGATCAGGGCCAGAATGATAAAATCATCAAGGCAGAGAGAGGCCTTCAAGATCATCAAATCCAACTGTCACTCCAACACCACCATAATCACCCCTAAACCATGTCCCCAAGTGCCACATCCAGATGCCTCTTGAATGTTTCCAGGGATGATGTCTCCAGCACCTCTCTGGACAACTTAATCCATTGCCTGACCATTCTTTCAGTGAAAAAAAAAATCTACTATCTAATCTGAACCTCCGTTGGTGCAGTTTGAGGCCATTTCCTCTGGTCCTGACACTTGGCAGAAGAGGCTGATCCCCACCTCACTACAATCTCCTTTTGGGAGAGCACTGAGGTCCCCTGAGCACCCTTCTCCAACCTGCACACCCTCAGTTCCTATGGCACCTCACAGGTGTCTGAGGGCTCTGGAGCGGCTGTGCCAGGGCTGTCCTCATTCCTAACAGCCCCCAACGCAACTCAGCCACCCTCAGCCCTGCCAGGGGTGCCCACATTGGTGCCACAGGGAGCTCAAAACCTCCACAAGCCCTTTGGGAATCGGCCACAGGGCAACTTTGGTGGGACAGAGACACCTCATGGGCAATGCCTGGGTGATGCCACAGCAGGGATCTGGCAGTGGGCAGCCAGCTCTGGGCAAGTGAGGCAGCACAGCCCTGGCACAAGGACATCCTTGGGCAGCCCCAGCTGGAGCAGAGCTGAGGCAGCTGGGGCTGCCCCCAAAATGAGACCAGCCTGAGCCCTGAAAGGAGACCCAGCTCACTGCAGCCCTGGGGAGGGCTGGGGAGGCCTGGGGTAATCATTCACCCGACAGGCAGGCTGCAGCCACGGGTGTGGAGGGCAGAGTCCCCTCTGCGTCAGCAGCTGCTGAAACCAGCCTGAGTGCCTCCCTGCCACCCAGGGACACGTGGGACCAGGGGGCAGCTGGGGCTGGGCAGGACTCCAGTGTGGCAGCACTCACTGTGCTGGCACTGGGAAAGTTGATAAGGAACAAGAACTCCCAGAGCGGCATTGGGGTGGTTTCAGCTGTGTCACCAGTGTTGTGCTCCCTGGACACCTACAGGTGACACAGTGTGAGCTATAGGTCCAAGAGACACCAAACTGGAGCAGCCAGATCATCCCCCTCCCTAAGGTGGTGATAGCTGCTGTGCCAGAGCCACCCCTGATGCCACCCAAACAGCGCCTCACTGTCCCCAGCTGGCTCCCACTAATGTCCCACCACTCTGGTGCCACAAACTGGCCACAAACTTGCGTGCCACTGCTGCCCGTTGCTCTCCCTAGGCAGTGGCTGGAGCAGCATGGGGATGGCAGCAGCTCCAGGGGCCCAGGCAGTGTGCCCACGGTGCCACCAAGCCCTGTCCCTGTCCCCAGTCTCCCCCAAGACCTGGCACAGGGCCTGCACCAGCCAGAGGCCGAGGCTGGCAGCAGGAGGAGCCGGCTGAGCCGGTTTCCGACAGAAACCAGCCCGCACCTGGAATGGCCCCGCAGGGAGAGGCAGTATCTGGGCAGAGCTGACCACGGCCCAGCGCAACACACCCAGCACCGGACACCGGCAGCACCGGCGGCCCCACACCGCCCCACACATGAACCGAAGCAGCACTTCCCAGGGGTTTTGAAGCCAAACAAAGCCAAGCTGTGCTGGGGCAGCTCATCCCACAGCCAGGTCTCCAGTTCGGGGCTGTGCCTGGCCCTGGGTGATGCCACCAACAATGCCCGCCATGGGGACACAGCGACTGGGGGATCCTTTATTGGAAAGTCACACACACTGTCCACCCCAGCCATGCACACAGCCAACCCCACCACCCACAATGTTTACCAACTCCCCTCCCGATAGGGCTCCTCATCCTGGGAACCTCAAAGCCTTCCTGGGATCAGTGAGGTACCTGCCCTCAGCCACTTCTGCAAAACCACTCGGCCATGAAGCACTGAGGTTGCTTCCCTGAGGATCTCTCCAGAGGCTGCTCCATCCCAACCCCACCCAAAGAGTGATGGGCTGATCCCGACCCTCTGCTCTGGGGAAAGGTCTCTGGAAGGGCTGCCCCGGACCGAGTAAACCAGCAGCAGAGAAGCACGTCCTGCAGCCCTGGGGCGTGGAGCTCCAATCCTCCGCGCTATCCCCCTGCCGTGGGGCACAGCTCCAGGAGGGTCACTAGGTCCTGGAGCCAGCCAGAGACGGACAAAGCACGGCCAGTTCCCCAGGTGTAAGCACGGCTGAAAGGCAGAAAGCAGGGCTGACAGATCCCGGGGGACAGAATTCGGCACTCACCGAGCCTGGGATCCGACCAGGAAGGAGCTCAGCTCCCGGGCTGGTGGCAGTGGTGTCACTCCAGGGTGCCTTGCGTAACCCTTTGTGGCCCAGACTGTGCCTGCAGCGGGGAAGGAGCAGGAAGGGGGTTCCGGGGGCAGCTTCCTGGGCACAGCCGGTCTCCCGGAGGGCTGTCCCCGGTGTTCTCCACCGTGATGGTGGCTCAGCCACCTGCACTGATCGCCCTCCCGGTGCTGCACCGTGACAGGCTCACAGGATGCCGGTGGTGCCTGCAGATAGGGGTTCCTCCGCCCCAATCCTTGTCCTGTCCAGAGAAGCGGTGGGACTCTGCCCCAGATTCCCAAAGCCTCCCAGAGTTACCCATTGTCCCCAGAGGGGACAGACACGGGGGCCAGCCTTGGGATCCCTGTCCTGGGAGGTGCGGGAGAAGCTGGTGATGACTGCTGCCCCCTTTCCTCCCCTTCCCTTGCCCCTGTCCGCACCTGAGGAGCAGGTCCCCGTCATCCCTCGTCCTGCGGGGCCGCTTGCCGGCGGTGACAGCGATCAGGTCCACGCCGCGCTTCTCCGCCTCCCTCCGGGGCCGGTACCGCTCCCAGCCCAGCGCCGAGGCGGCGTGGGGGGACCAGTTTCTGCGGAAGCCCCCGGTTGGCAGCCGCCAGCCCGGAGCCGGAGCCATGCCGCCGCCGGCCCCTCCGCTCGCTCCTCGGTACCGGCTGCGGATCCCGGCCGAGCCCCGCGGGGAGCCCGCAGCGGCTCCCGCCGCTCACCGGGACCAGCCGCAGTCGGGAGCCCCTCTGGCGGACGCCGGCGCCGCCGAGCAGTCTCATCAGTGCCGGTGGCCCCAGCGTTGCCTCCCAGCAGCGGGACCTATCCGGGACACGCGTGGCCCCGGGGCTCCGAGAACCGGCGGGGCCGGCCCGGGCTGACCCGAGCCCCGGGGCTGACCCGGGCCCGGCGGCGCCACTAGATGGTGCCGCGGGGCCGGGAGGAGCCGGGCCCCGGCTTGGGCTGGGAACCGGCGGTGCTGAACGGGGCCGGGGCCGCGAAGCGGGGGAGGGAGCGTGTCCGAGTCCCGGTGCACGGCTGGCCGGTCCAGCCCGGCGTGTTGTGCGGCTACTGGGAGCTCTCGGAGAAGACTGGGGGGGAAGCGGGGAGGCGCGGGGCGGGTAGGCAGCGCCTGGCACCGGGGAGGCTCCTGGGGGGCCCCGGTCCGGCGGGGGCAGCGCGGTGGGAACCGAACCACGACGGGACGGGGGGCGCGGGCCCGACCGCGCAGACCGGCACCGGCCCCGCCCCCCCACCGGAGCCCCGCCCCTCCGCCATGGGCACACACAGGCCACGCCCCCGCTGCCATGGCGACCGGCAGCTCCCCGCCCCGGGAGCCCCGCCCCCATTGCCATAGCAACCGGCGGGCAGGCCCCGCCCCCGCGGAGCCCCGCCCCGCTGCCATGGTGACCGCAGGCCCCGCCCCCCGACCCTGTGGTGTTTCCCCCTCAGCCGGAGGTGTCGCGGCCGCCGCACCGTGAGGGACCGGCGGGACTGGCTGCGGCCTCCCTTGTCCCTCCCCGCCCCCGTGGAATCCCACAGCCCGCCGCTCATCGCGACGGCCCTCCGCCGCATCGCGATTAACTCCGGCGGAAAAGCCCCGCTGTGCTTCCGGCGCTGTTCGGGGCGTGTCTGGCCGCGGCGCCACCCGCGTTCTATGGTCCGCGGCGCTCCCAGGGTCCCCCGCGCCGCGGCCGGTACCCGGGAGAAGCGCGGCGGCGGGCGCCGGCCTGTCCGGGGCCTGTCTTGCCCCGGGGCTGCGCCTGCCCGCGGCCGCCATGGAGCTGGAGGTGCCTGAGGAGGCGGAGGGCTCGGCCGCGGCGGGTGCCGGTGCCATCACTCCGGAGGCCGGCGTAGGGGGACCGGACGCGTCAGGAGGTAACGCGCCGCGAGCACCGGGGGCCGCCCCTGGCTGTCCCCACCCGGGCGGGCCCCGGTGTGTCCCCGTGTCCCGCCGGCTCGCAGTGGTTCAGCCCAGCCGTAACCTGCCGGGCCCCCCCGCGGGGCGCTCCGAGTGGTTCGGTCCAGCCCCCCCCCCCCCCCCCAGACGCCGCGTGGTCCCGTCCAGCTGCTGCTTCCCTCCCCCGTTCCCCCCGGAGCCGGGGTGGTTCTGCCCGGCGGGACACCGGGGGACACCGGGGGACACCGGGGACACCGCGATGGGGTGCCCCGCCGCTGTCCTCGGCAGTCTCGGAGCTGCGAGGGCCAACGGCGGCGCCCGGACCACCGTGCGAGGCACAGGCCGCCCACCCTCCAGCACTACTCGCAGCCCCGCAACCGGCCCCCGCTGGGCCTGGAGGGCCGTGGCGGGGCCGTCCTGTCCGGTCCCTTCTCGGGGGTGGCTCCCCGGAGAACACAGGGTCGGGTGGAGGGGTTGTTCGGAGGTCAGGCAGACCCTGTCAGCGGGGCCCGGGGATTTTGTCCGCCTCCCGCCGGAGAGGGCCCAGAGCGAAGCGAGCCCGGCAGCGGCGTTAGTAGAAGGTTTGTGGTTCTAAGTGGCAGGATGGATCCATGGGGTTGTGCCTGTGCACCTGCCCCCGTCTCTACCGCTGCCTAATTATTTCTAGTTCATTAACAGCCTCAGGATTGCTGGCTGAGCCGTGCTCGTGATGTTCAGCCCTGCAGCTGCCGGGCTGACTCGCTCCTGCGCAGGCCCGACACGGAGCTCCGGACACCTGCCGGAGTCCGGGGTGCTCAGAGCGCTTGGCTGTGTGATGACAGCGATCTCCGTGTCATCAGGCCTTTCAATGAGCATCATTAGATCTTCTTAGAACCAGCTAATTGCAGTGGAAGTGGTGCTCGTTTTGCAGATGTCATCTGCTGTGGCTGTGGGTGTAGAGTGTAGCTTTGAGTAAGGTTTGGGCTGAGGGAAGCTGTCCCCAGCCATCCTGCTGCGGTTCCTCGGTGCTGCAGAGAAATGCAGGGGCTGGCTGCCTGCAGCCTCCCTTCCCAAAGCTGCTTGCTCTGCTCCCACACACCCTTGGACCTCTTTTTGGGAGTGTTCTCCCAGCGCAGGCAGGGCTGGCAGGTGATGCCAAAGGAGTGAGAGAGAACTTGCTGATCAGAGTCACAGAACACTTTGGTCTGGAAGGGACCTTAAAGCCCATCTTGTTCTACCCTTCTGCCATGGGGAGGGACACCAATGAACAATTAAAATATCATTTGTCCTTCTGATTTGTCTGTCACATACCTGTTTTTTGGGGAGGATAGAAGGTTCTTGCTCAGGACTAGGCAAAGTGTTCATGGAGACTGTTGCTCAGGAAGAGTTTAAGCAGGGAGTGTGTATTTTTCTTCTTCTGTGAGCAAGTAAATCTGAATTTGTTAACCTGTAGGCTGTCTTACCTTACGCTGATAGTAAAAAAGATGAAACTGAGCCAATAATCTCACCAATGCTTTGATTTCTCAAGTCAAGTTGCTTACTCCTCACTTGGGTAGCATCCAAATCGTGTCACTTGGCCTCAGCTGCTCTTGCAGCTGGAGCTCCTGGGGGGCTGGGGACAACATGCACAACAGCAAATGAGTTTTTGCTGGAGAAGAGCAAACCCTGGGGGATGGAGGTGGCCTTTGGTGGGCTGTGGGAGGACAGGGCCAGGGTGGGCTGTGCTGTGGGTGTGGGCTTGTCACTGTGCTCCATGGTCTGGACTGGGTGACAGATCCCCATAAGGCTGGTGCCTTTGCTGCTGTGTGGAGGTGTTGAAGTGCCCATGATCCACGTACATGGGTGCTTTGCACTGCTGCCCTCATGCTCAGTGTTCTGCATGTGCTGTTGGTGAAGGGTCACCAGCGTGGCTGAAACCTGCTGCCTGGTTCCTGGCTGTAGAGGAGGCAATGGATGCTGTGCTCTGCCTGAACAACATGGCAGGGCTAATCCAGACTGTGGGTCAGGCCAGCAAAGACCTTCCCCAAGCCCTCAGTAATTATTGAAAAATTACCAGTTAGTCTGGTACAGGAGTAAAACCTGGAGAAGGGCTGGAAGCTGGGGAGGTCTTGGCAGTAGGGTGTCTTAAGGTACAGAGTGTTCTGAAGGGAACTTTTGGAAATCTCATGCTTTGAGGGAGAAAAACTCACTGCCAGCAGCAGGGCTCATTCATGAACACACAGCCCAATTCGTTCATTCCTGACACCTTGGCTTCAAAGTTTTTAAACGTTTCTGACCAGCTTGTTGAAAGGGAGTTTCAAAATCTAATGGGTGCAGATGCTTGCTGTGCCTTCTCTCTGAATCTGTACCCTCATGCCCTGGGGAGGGACTCCAGGGAGTGTAAGGGGCTCCTCCAGGGTTCTGGTGAGCTGTAGGCAAGAGCAGAGGTGGTGTGGGGTGACAGGTGAGTACTGGACTTGTTTAGACTGGGGTGCCCCGATCCCAGGGGTGGTGGGGTAAGCAAAGGGTGCATCACTGTTCCTCTAGCCAGGTGCAGTCTGGAGACACGGGGTCTGGAAACCTTTTATTCAAGGTGGTTGAGTTATGGGAGAGCTGTTGTTACAAAAAACCTGGCACTGTCCAAGCATTGGACAGCAGAATTGTCCTTTCTACTGTCTACCATCTCCTTTCAAAGTGGAAAGTCTCTGTCTAATGGGGAAGTAGAGTTGACTTTTGGATTTATTTCCATTGGTCAGGTCTTCTCTTACACACATTTCAGTCTGCCCATCACTTATAGTCCAGAGCTGGAGCAGAAGCCTCCAACATGTTCTTCAAGGTTGGATTCTAATGCTTTAGGGAACTGAAATGATTTAACAAGGATTCACTAGTGTTGGGTAAGTGTCTTTCTGTACCTCTGGCTGAAGGAGCACGATGAAGATCCTGGCCCCAGCCAGGGGAGAGCCAGGTGTGCTGTGTGCTGGTGGCACCTGTGTGGCTGTCTCCAAAAATCACTGGAGAGCATTGATTGCGACAGCCCAGGAACAGTATTGCAGCTCTTCCCTCTTAGCAGTGATAACTTTGAAGTGACTTTTGAAGCGTTGCTGGAAGCAATTTTTTCAGTGAGCAGATTAGAGATAAGAGAAGAATTCCACCCTGTGGGGCATAAGCAGTTCAATTCATACCAACTTGATGGAGAGGGGAAATTGAAGAGAGCTTATCAGCTTGAGGAAAAATCAAATGTAAACATCATCTCCAGCATGATTATGGTTCACAGCTTAGTTGGATGTCACATGCCTCTGTGGCGTGAAATGGTGCTGGCAAGGATGATTACAGAGGGAGTCAGCCAGGCAGGAACAGGCAGAAAAACACCCTGTGCCTTGAACTCTTAAAGACCCTGCAGTCACTTCACAGTCAATAAGTTACAGCTCAGCTGCAGGGAAGGAGGAAGGCAATGAAAATAGAATTCAGGCTGCTCTGGCAAATTAATTGTTCTTCAAGATATGAATCTGCTGGAAGCACGTAGGGAAGCTGGGATGATGGAGCCTGGGAGCTGGGAAGGGCAGTGTGCACAGCAGGCAGATGTGGGCACTGCCCCGAGGATGCTGAGCCTGCCTGTATTGGTGTCAGGGTAGGCTGGAACGAGTTTCCAAGAACACACAGGACGGGGAATGATTAGTCTCATTTTCATTAACCAGCACTTGGCATTGACCTGTATATAACAGCCCGTTCCACCACTGCTGGGGCTGGGGCTGGCAGAGCTGCCACTGCCGCATCCCACTTGGGAGGCACATGAGCCTCCCTGGAAGAGCTCCTCGGGGAATGACCTCAGTGGATTCAGTATGAACAGTGTATAATTTGGGAACTATTATTGAAGTGATTCACTGACATGACCATTATGGGCTCTTGCCAGATGCACAGTCTTAAGAAATATGGCCTTCCCATATAAGGTGGTTATAGCCTGAAAAGCAGCAGCAGGAATTTCAGCACTCTCTTCCTTCATGGACGCATCTTTCAGTTAGCACCAGTTGACTCCAGAAATAGTTCTGCCATGGCTGTGTGATACCCTGATAAAGACTTGAGAGCTCTTCTCATCACTTGCTGTTCAGCTTTGTCAGTGTTTGGTTATTCCCATCCATCCCTTTGGGCTGCCCATAATTAATCTCTAGAAGCCTGGCAGGTTCTTCACTCCCGACATGGATGTGGTACCATGTGCTTGCTGGGACCTACTGATAGGAGATCTGTTCATCTCTGTATGTGGGAGCTGCAGGTGTTACGTGGGACTCATTAACTTGTGACTCAAAAAGCAGAAATCACTGCACCTTTTCCACTGCACTGGGGAATGTCAGAGGCAGAGTGGGAGGGGGAAGTATTTACTAATCCCAGTGCAAGGAGGGTTGGCTTTGTTTAGGTGGAATTGAATGCTCAGTGCTCCCATCCACAGCATGGGGAGGGAGCTGCTGGCCATGTCGCTAGCAGGGGATGCTCCCTTTGGCATCTTGGCTCCAGGAAAGTGGGAGCCAAAGCAGACCTCCCCAGATGGTCTGATCCCATGGATGCAGTCTCACAGATCTCCCCTGGATCCCAGGAAAGACAACGGGAGCAGCAGGTGTTGGAGTAGGCTGCCAGTTTTGGGACACACTCTCTGGTTTAACACAGAGGCCTTGGCACCTCCTTTTCTCCAAGATGCTTATGTTGAGAGAGAAGTGACTCAGAGTGTTTGAATCATAGAATGAAAGAATAGTTTGGGTGGGAAGGGACTATCTCGTTCCAACCCCCTACTATGGGCAGGGACACCTTCCAGTACACCAGGGTGCTCCAAGCCCTGTCCAGATTGGCCTTGAATCTCATAAATAGCAGCAGAACAGCAGGTGGCAAGGTGGGGTATTTCCTTTCCCATTAAGTCTTTCCAAGTCTCTAAGATCTCTGATGGTCTCCTTTGATTTGTTTAATAACCAGTGACAGTGTGGCTGTTCTTCACCTATCTCCCAGGCCTACAAGCTGGGTCACCTCATGAATGTGC